GAATGTTTTTTTGTAGGCCTTGCCGATTCAGATAATTGGAGTCTGGTTCTTGACGTTTGTGTGGATGAATGATTAATTCAACCCCTCATTTGTTGTCCTCTTCCCCCTCTCTGCCTACGGTTTACCGGGTAGCTCTGTTTGACTATATATATATATATATACTGCTCAGTTCACCAGGCAGCTCTTGGGGCCGAGGTTGACGATACATACATACTGCTCGGTTTACCGGGCAGCTCTTGGCGCCGAGGTTGGCGGTTAATCCCTGCAGGCGCACGGAGGAAGATTTAGCCCCGTGGAAGTGCAGATCCAAATAACAAAAATACTGGGAAGGCTCCCGTAAACTGGCCGGTACGACAATTCACAGCCTAACCGTATATATCTGAGGAAAGGTACGTGCTCAGTTGGAGCTGAGTGGGCAAGAACTGCAAATGCATCCGGGGGAGTCGAATGTGGTATTGAGTTGCGTTCGGACACTACAGCCTCGCAGGGGTGGGGTAGATATCACGAACAGCATGGTTCCACTTTCAACACTGTGTCCTGGCTGTACTGGTTAAGAGACTTAGCTGTTGGGGCCGAGGTCGCTAGTTCGAATCCATGCGGGAGTGCGGAGGAAGGTTTAGGCCCGTGAAAGTGCGGATCCATATGACAAAAAGACTTGGGAACTTGGGATATCCTCCTTGAACTGACCGAACTCAGGTTAATTCAGCAGAATATTTACTCGTCGGATTCTGCTGGAATTCGACCTCAGGTCTGTTTTCCAACAGTTCATTGGTGCACAAACTACTGAGCTACACCTGGCCCTTTCAAATGATATACTGCCTCCGTGTACAAAGGGCACCGGACGTAGACAGGGCCGAACGATCATTCTTAAACCACCACGGTCCACCAGTACAATAGGGCCTGGAGACGCTGCACTGCGCGCCAAGCTTTTCCCAACCGCCAGCGGCACACTTATTTTTCCTTCGGCTGGTCCCGCCAGCCATTGCGTCGTCTGGTTGGCCCAAGGCGCAAAACTTTTGGAGTAGGTGACGAGCTCCACAAGGCAGGAGCCGTGTACTGCCGGTTTAAGCCACCAGTACCTACCGGGTTCTTAGGCCCCCTCTGATGCAAATGAATATAGATCCCCCCCGGTAGGCCCAACTCATCCACCTCGTTAACACCTAAAAACGCGGTAGGGACAACGTTATCATGCACATTATCAAAAAAGAGATTGCCTTGCTGGTGGTTTAAACCTCCAGTGCGCGGGCCCTGCATGGATTTTTGCTGCAAGACACCTGCTGCCAAACCAGCATGTCATTCAAGTTGCCAAGCCATCCCTCTTGGCCCGGTCCGCCGAGACCTGCGGTGGAACAAAATAGGATCGTCCACCGGTTCTGCTTCACCTGCATAAAATGCCATCAACAGCAGACCGTTGTAAGCTATAACTGGATTTTTATTTTATAATTTTTATTTTATTCTATTTTGAAGGGGGATGTCTGGATCAATCTGCTTTCAACGAGCAGAGCGAAAGAAAGAAGAAGGAAAAAAAAAGCATGGCTACGCTGGACCCAGACCCGGACATTTCGGGACATGGAACTGGACCCGCATCCGGCAGTTTCCGGACCTCTGGACATTAAGGGGTCCGGACGGTCCGGATGTCTGTACAGGTCAAGAAATGCCCGGACCATTAAAAAACAAAAAAAAAAATCTAAAAAAACTTAAAAAAACTTTAAAAAAGTATGTTATGCAGAATAACAATGCAAACCACTTTCGCCTCAGAGTCATGTCAAAATTCCTAACCAAACAGTTAAAAGTCAAAAAATATAAAAAATCTTAAAAAAAGACTTTAAAACAAGGCTGGGCCGGCAACCGGCCGGTTCACCTCCCCCGGTCCACCCGGATCCGGACCAGCCCAGGGGGGCTGAACCGGAAAACCGGTATTCAAAAAAAAGGCCACGATTTTTCGTTTTTTTTTTTTTTGGGCGGCGGATTCGGACTGCGCTCCTCGAGATCTGTCCAAATTCGCAATAAAATTTGGAAGGTGCGAATTTTTTGGGGGGGGGGTTCCCAAGAGGGGGCAGGGCATATTATCGGGTGGGGCCAGGGAGTTGGAGGTTGGCCTTAATGTGGAGGGGCCAAGTGAACTGCTTTACTTTACCCCTCCGTGGCCTTTCAAATTTCAATTCGACCATATACCTTTTTATTGGTTTATGCCATCAGGCATTGGTATTCGAGAGGCCGAACGACATATGCTGTTGGGAGGTGCTTGCCCAAAGTTATAGCTCTTCGGGATACCGAGCTTTAAACTGGAAAAGTTATGGGTTGAGGTTTCAGCTCGTGAAGGCAGAGAGCTTCCTTTTGTTTTTCCCTTATATGGTGAGTCATCAGTCCACTTTCCTTTTGTTTTTCCTTTATACAGTGGGTCTTCAGTCCGAAAGTATTTCGCCTCGTGCGCTGTCCAGATACATGTAGTGGAGCAAGGTTCATTCTTGGGCTTGCACCTCGGACTGCTATTCTGATTTTACGAGCAGAAACCTCAACCCATAACTTTTTCCCCACAGAATAGGGATGTCCGAGAAGCATATAAACACAGAAAAGCCTGGGCTAAATCATGCTGTTCCTATCCTCCTCTCCACTTCCGTCGAGGATGAACACCTTCCTACTGTAGCGGGTTTGTGGTCTCTTAGACTGCACTATCAATCTGAAATTAGTAAAATCCATATAGAAACAGGACCCCGTGTTTTGACGAAAACACGTGGAAGTGGGGTTCAAAAGGCCCTGTTTGTTTTGAAGAAAGAGGACACTAGCCTCCCAAGGGCTCGGCAAATGCAGTAACGCCGGTCGATCCCCAGTACCCCCCCCCCAGCATGATGCGCTGGACTCGACCAGGGGCCTGCCGGGCCGGTCCAACCGGGGACCAGCACGGCTTTAAAAACTAATAAAAGGTAATGAATTATTAATAATTACAAAATCAATGAAAAATGGGGTTGTCTAATAAATTGTTATAGAGAGAGAGCATGTCCGGACCCCCAAAGAAAGCACAAATGGGCCTGAAACCCCCCGAAACAATTTTGGGGGCTTGGCTCCTCAATTGGGAAGGGTCCTGGACCGTTTTTCTTCCCCCCCCCCCTCGAAATTTGGCAGATCCGGACCTTCCAGACCGGACGTCTAGAGTCCGGACTGAATCCAGACCATCTGGACGGCGGTCCGGACGTCTGGATCGTAGCCATGAAAAAAAGAAAGTAGAAAATAAAAGAAAGTTCAATTGCAACCTAACAACCGTCTTTTGCTGGAGTGTGACGAGTTTCAAGCTTTAGATGTGTATCCGTCTTCTCACTCGAATAGAAGCCCGGTTACAGAATGACTCAAACACATCTCGACTGAAACTTGCCCCAACTGGGCGTTCTATTCGGGCGGAAGACGGTAGGCATATGCAGGGGTAGGACAAGCACATGGTCGGCATATCCTAAGCTGCAAACAACTGCTTTTACGAGCAAGGCAAGCATTCATGAAGCACACAAAAGCTATTTTCTCCCAAACAACGAAGAACTAGTGATCACAAAAAGCCGACGAAGAACTAGTCATCACGACAAGCCAACGAAGAACAAGCGATCACAACAATCATTCCTGAAAACCACATACTTTATCCAACACCATAAAGAAGCACATGGTGTCGTGAGCTCACGGAACACATCACATTACCTCCCCAAGCACTTCCAAAACCACATCTGATACGGAGCCAAAACCATTTAATAAGGAGCCAAAACCATTTAATAACGAGCCAAAACCACTTAATACGGAGCCAAAACCATTTAATAAGGAGCCCAAACCAGTTAATACAGACGCAAAACCATTCAGGACAGCCATTGGCAAAAACAACCCTAAAACGACAACAAAAGAATGGGTGTCATGAGCAAGAGCATTCCTGAATAACAGCAATTATTTTTTCTATGCTGGTTACACTCGACCCGAACACCGGGAGCAGTCCAGACATCGGTCCGGACCTCCTGTGTCTGGACTGCTGTGAACCGTCCGGCTTGAAAAACCTATAAAAAAAAGGGATTTTTTTTTTTTTTTTTTTTGGCTCTGAACCGTCCGATTTCAAAAAAACCCTTAATAAAAGGGGAAAAAACGTTTTTTATTTCTTCCTTGGATTTGGCAACGACTTTCGAGATGCTTTGAGCCTTGAGGTTCCCTTCATTATCAGGGCCCAGCGCCCAAGGCGAAAATACAATTCCTTAAAAGTTGATCTTGGGCTTCTTGTATATTGAGAAGCAACCCCGAATTCTGAAAAGAAAATGTGACGAGAAAAAAACAGTACGATATCTTTTTTAAGTTGTTTTTTTTTTTTTTTTTTGAAGTCGGATCTTTTCGGGGACGGTTCCAGACACTCTGGGCGGGACACCAAACCCTTTTTGCCAACCGGACCCTGGCCGTCTGCACTGCGGTCGGTCCAGACGTCCACCACGAGGCATAGACATATATACCAGAACAAGGGCCTTCGGCACAAGTCATGCAAGCGCACGACATCACACCACTCCTCAAATGCATTCACATTCATTGCACATAGAAGGCACAGCTATTTGACACAAACAAGACGATCACACATAGACAAAAACAAGACAATCATACACTTTCATCGAGTTTCAGCACGATAAATTTAGCATGGAATAAAAGACAGTTTGGGCTTCAATAGACCATTGGACCTTGCTCCCTCACTTTGCACCGAGCTAGTAGTACAACCAACAAACCAGTATAGACGAGTCCTCAACAAGAACATCCCTTCTCCGCGAATCTCTCTCTCTCTCTCTCTCTCTCTCTCTCTCTCTCTCTCTCTCTCTC